ACCATTTTATTATTATTAAAATATTCAACAACGTGCCGCTTACGTGGCACAACGTGCCACTGATAGCAACATTTAGCCTAGTACAGGGGTGGGCAACTAGCCCACCAACGAGCCCATTTATTTGGCACGCCAGCGAAGCTTCGGAAACGAGATCATTCTCCATCAGATAGGAAATTTCAAAACATTGGACTATCTGATGACACTAGATGTTCATTTATCCATAATCGTTTGTAAACAATCCTTATTCTTTTAAAATCTCTTTTCGTCCTTTCGTGACATGTGACAAACAAATATATGATGACGTAACAAATGGGTGAGCTCTCGAAATTTTTTGTCGAGAAGGGCGCGGCATTCATTTAGGTACAATATTACGTAATATAGTTCGTCTGGGCCACCTTTTTTCTTGAAGTTGTGCAGTTCATTTTGGATAGAGTTGTACTTGCTAACGTACCATTATCAATTGATTTCGAAAGAAATACACATAAGCGATTAGGTAAGGGAATACAATAGAGAAGTGCTGACAACGACGTGATGGGGTGCCATTTCGAAGAATTCTTCGTGTCTTAAATACTTGCGACTGCATTACTCTCAATGTATTTTCATCTGCATATGCTTGTGAATTTATGTTCTCAGTTGTGAACTTTAGGTCGAAAGGGGTAGCCCAAAATATGAAGCCGGTAGTTCGTGTCATTCTTTGAAAGTTACAAAGTGTAAACCCAACGTAAAATCTCTATCAACTGTAATGCAGGAGTCTCACGTATATAGAATAAGACAAGTAATAAAATCTATTTGTTGGACTGACATTTTCCTGAATAGTGAATCTGTCTGTACACGTTTAAAAGGTTTATTAATGTGTATTTTTGCTTTGAAGTAGCAAAGCATTGTTTTTAATTTTGGTCGGCATGCGGAAGAATTTTGTCGTTAAATTTGGCCGATTTTGGCACGTAAGCCGCTTTTCCTACACTAATTTTTGAATATTGCAACTAAACAAAGGCCGGGGAAACATCCAATGACACTCAACAATGGCGTACCTCATGATGTCATAGATGGGGAATATAATACAATTTATTTCAATCTTTCGTCTACCTACAACATAGAACACGAATAAAAATAGATAAAGAACACAGACAATGACGACGAAAAGATCGGGAAAATGAACAAAACCTAGAGAAAGGTTTATAGCAAACGCCGTGAGCAGCGTTTATGCCCATTCACCCACACGCACACTAGTGGAAAAACACAGCACTCAAATCTTACTGAAACGAAAAAATTCCATTTAAGAATAAATAAAAAAAACAGCATACATGAACAGAAGAAAATGAAATTCAAGGCCGAAGCTTATTTGTAAATGATTTTGGTACAAAGAGTACAAAAACAATCATATATAAGTTATGTAAGGATGTCTGTGCCAAAATGCAAATCCCAATATTAGCATCTAAATTGAGATTAGCTGTAATTTTTTTTAGTAAACAAACGAAGCTAACAAGTGAACAACAAACCTAAAAGCTTGAAAAGTTGTTTTGGGCGTTGCTACTTGTTTGAAACAAAATCGGATCTTCATCCGACGATTCTGGCCGATTAAGAAAATTGGTTGACGCCCATTGGCCTGAACTAAGAGTTTTGTACTGGTTTGAATCACAAAATTTTGATCCGATAATAAGCTCATGGAAATGATGTAAGTCTATAGGGTTTTTATTGTTGTTACCGTATGTATGAAAAAAAATCGATTTTCTGATTAACTACTAGATCCATTGCTTTGATTTTCATTGGTAAAGACTGTATTTACATTTGAGGATATAACAATTAATTATTTCAAAACTTTCTGTGGGCACTATGTGATTCGTTTTCACTTAGAAATTTTGTGTGGTGACCTCATCAAAATGAATAAAAATTATTTGTGGCTGTTCTGTGAGCCTACAATTTTTAAAATATACCAATTCTTCATACAATGAGTGTAGAAAAAAGGTGACCGAGATAAACTGGGAGAAAACCAGTGGTGGAATTCAAATTTTCTGTCAGCCGGTTCGTTCACAAAAGTCATATTTTTTAGGCGGTTGTGTTACTAACAGAACATTGACAGTAACCAGTAATGATATCCGGTTCGCTGATCTCATAAAATTCCGTGAGACGGTTCTATAGAACCACTGCGAACCGGTTGAATCCCACCACTGGAGAAAACGGAAACCACAGTATCTGGTGTGTTTTCAAGTAATATCTGTCACGAAAGAATATAATTTTAAATGACATTACAAAACCAAACACGAGAAAAGATGCCGAAAATACCACGATATTATCGGAAAGCATGCTATATATAGTTTCCTTGAAAAACTGATTAAAACGGTAAACTCTCATTCTTAAATAAATGAGTAAACTCGCGATGTTTTGATCATTTTTTGGCTTTTTTAGGACTGCGGACCGCGAGACATCTTCAAGAGTTTTTGCGGCCCTCCAACCTCGCAACTTTGGGCCTTCCTGATTTAATTTAATCCCATTTCATCTACTGTACCTTAATCGGCCTAACGTCAAATGTACTCAAATAAAATTTAACGCTAATAGGCACATGCAAAATCATTTTAATAAATATGGCTTTCGTTTTAAAACTTTAATAAACTTCAACAATTCGATGTCTATGGTTTCATTATAATAATGAGTAATGTATAATGATGAGTAAGTTTTTAATAACGTAAGACTTCGTTTCAAGAATTTCGCAATCTAAAATCAAATTTTATTCTCAGTATATAATTATTAATACCTATTTTATTAATTTATATTGGCTTTCGCAGGATTACGAATTGTTGTTCCCGCAACCGGGAATCTTTGGTCAAAATCACATTTTTATTATTAGCGGTTTCGATTTCTGTGTAATCTTGTATTACCACACAGAACAAATTCCGGCGAATCAGCAAACAATCGATCGTTCCAGCAAAGACATTACTCTACGGCGTTACAAAAAATAAGCTATGTGGACATTGCTACATCTGGTTTTTATTTTTCGGTTTAATATCTGCTATTGCTAAACTTAAAAAAATAATATTGATCACTTCAATGTAACACAAAAATACTGTAACTACAAATCGCAATTGAATTTACTTTTGCATTTACCTATTAATTTTGTAAATATTTGAAAAATTTTGTAAAATATTTGAAGAGAAGAATACTAAGGATGGTTTTGTCATTACATTCCAATATTCATTTAGTTCAAAGTTTCCCAACCAGGAAGGAATTACTCCCCAGGAAGAATTTTGATGTTCTTGGGAGGAAATACAAACTGTATTTAGCGTAGTTCCACAATTATTGTTTAGTTATTTAGCATTATGGTAATACGTTTTATTGATAAATTATTGCCAAAAGTGTAGCACTAGTTACGGACCTTGAAAGATGAACAAAAAAATAGAAACAGAGTTCTTTATGCATATTGGGGAATAGGGGGGAATAAAGAATTCCTAAATAGACAAAGGAAGAATTCATCGAAAATGATTAAGAACCACTTATTTAATTGCATACAAAACGAAAAATATAGTAAGATGTTTAGGTTGCTTTTACTGGTAAGCAGACACAATGAAATGATGACTCAATGATTTTTTTTAGTTTAAACAGGCAGGCAGCATTTGGCTGCAAAATATGGAAACAAAAAGTTGTGAACAGACATCACGTCACCTTGAAGCATGACACATCAGCGAAAGAAAAAGGTGAAAATTGCTGATATCATTTTTGACTTCAGGCCATGTCAGATAGTTTTTCGAAGAAAAAAAATGGTGGCAGAAAAACGTTAAATACCGTGGATTTACAACTGACGACACATTTCCTTACATCTTCTTCTTACCTCCACACGGTTTGAAAGAATACAAGAAAATGAGTAAATTATCCATCGCCGTGTTTCTGGCAATTATCGGCGTATCCCTTGCTGCCGGTGGTAAGTACACGGCATTTGCCGTTTTATTTTATCTGATTAATTTTCAAACAAATATTTAAAAGTCAGAATAACATGGGCCTACACACGAGAGAAGTGAAGTCTCTAAAATTAGAGACACAAGCTACCAAGAAGGGGGCAGCTAAAAAGCGATAAGTAAATAATTAGAGATCAATTAAGCTCATTGATATCTCTACAAATATTATTGAAAAAAAATAGCAATTTATTAACATAAGAAAATTTGCTCGAAGACAACTCACGTACAATAACTCAGAAGTAAAGGATACTAGTCTCTGAGCAAAGTTACAGACATTCACAAACGTGCCAACCGCTACCGAAACTATAAAGAATTATGGCGGTGAATTAGTTAATATCGATTAGTTTTTCCGAATTTTGACTATTTCATTTTGATATTTATCTTGTGACCAAGCGCTTTTTATATTCACGAAACTTCGGCTTGCAGGTTGCCGGATTCCAAAGATCACGTATGGGTCATGCGAACCTGATGATATGGTTGATTACATGCCAAGGAGTTTCATCCCATATGGAACAGTTGTAAAATGTCACTGTGAAATCGGTTATGAATGGACTGAAGAATCGAATTCATACAAGTGTACTTATTACGGATGGAAACCAGACTCATTTGGAAAATGCGTCAAAAGTGAGTGTATTTACACATCATAAATATTATTTGTCACATTTCTACCTCTGGTTTCTCTATTAAAAGCAATGATATAATCATTTTTATATATTTCCTTTATCGTTTGCAACCTAATTACAAATACAACGGGTAGATATAATATTAAATATATTGAATTTTTTCGGCCGATGGCCGTATTGTACAAGTCATACTGATTGGAGTGTTGTTTTATATTTGTTTAGATATTGCTTAATAGCAACCAAATGCTATCCACCACCACAACCTTCAAAAGGTTCCGACTCACCTGTTCAGAATTCCAAATGTTGAATATCTGAATATTTTAACCTCAATGCTAAAACACCTAATTACACAATTCATAATAACTATTTCCGTCGCTTATTGCAAGTTTTAAAAACTCGAACAAAACTGCTAACTAATTTTTTTTTGCAGTAACATGTCCTTACAGGGAACCACCAGAAAACGGTGACGTGACTCCATCCCAAAAACGATATTTCGTAAATCAAGTGATCGAATTCAGCTGCCGACCCGGGTATAGTCTCAGTGGTAACTCAAAAGACAAGTGCAAATTAGATGGAAAATGGGCGATCAACGAACCTGTCTATTGCCTAAAACAATGTCAAGTGGAAAAGTTGGCGCCATACGTCACCTATAGTCCTGAAGCCAAATACCACGATCAAGGAACAGTAATACAATTCGAGTGTGAGAAAAAACACTACCACCTTGTCGGAGAGGAAAAATCTAAATGTTCAAAAGGCGGAAGTTGGGATACAGAATTTCCAATTTGCGGTAAGAAATGCAAAATTTTGAAGTAACATAATATAGATGTAATAATATCTACTGGATTGATTTATGGGGTTCTTCCAAAGTATTAAAGGTCGTAGATGGATGTAATACACAAATTTTATTATTGTTCTTAATAAAAAATTACCAAACCACATTTTTACCACAAACTTCTATTATATGTGAATTGTGTCTGATCATATGTATATATATATATATGTCCTAGTTCGAAAGTGCTATACACCTGAGATCGAAAATGGTGGAGTTGAAGATGAGAAAGATTTCTACTTGGCAAAAGAATATATTGAATATTTCTGCAATGATGGCTATGCTCTGGATGGAGAGGATGAAGGTCAATGCTTAGGCAATGGGGAATGGAGCCACGTCCCAACTTGCAAAGGTATATTCATTAAGTAAATATCAGCGGTTGGTTTGCTGTTGCGTGCTCTCGAAATGGCCAATGATAAGACTCTCGTTACACATCGATTTAGGTTTCACGTTTCATCAAGGGTCGGCAACTTTTTCCCACTGTAATCCGGTTTACAAACTACACAAAACTTCAGCAATACAATTTATTATTATTATGTAGTTATTCATCCGCAACAAAACGCCTAAAATTTGGAATTATGCAACTCAGTTACACCCACAGTGTGTCTTTCACGTCCAGACTGTTCTGCTAATTTTAAATATCGTATAAGCGAGAAGCTTTTCTTTTTCGCGGTTGTTGGCCCTCAATCCCCAGCATCAGGTTCATAATGCTAAAATATCTACGAACAAATCCCGCAACCAAAAGTTTGTGCTTATAACATCATATTATTGTACTTTAGAAATAATTCGTGACGATTCCTGCAAAGGACGTTGTGGAAGAAAAGACGACTACTTCGAATACACATGTCAATGTCACTCTAGGTGTGAGAAAGAGTACAATTGTTGCTCTGACTATCGCAAACAATGTAAACGTAAGTTTTATCACTCAAATTGCTTAAAATACAAACTTCTCGTGGAAATGGTAACGATAATGGAATTTTCCAATTTTTCAGATAATCTTTATTAACTGCAACAGAAGCCAATAAAGATGAGCACTCATCAGACGACACGCTGGAATCTTGGAATTAACGTTACGATAAATTGTCAAATATTCACTATATTATATGTTATATTAATAAAACTTCAGCAATATACAGTTTTATATCAAAATTAAGGTCAGAATACCGATATGTTTTGTGCAAAGGCCTATACCTTAAAAGGGCATTGGTTCTCAAAGTGGGGTCCGCTGTCGCCTAGAGGTACGCGAAGCGATTTTGGGAGGACCGCGAACTAACCGACACAGAAGCACTGCTGTGATGGCTTTCATAAGAGAGAGTGCTGAAAAACGCTTTAGTATTTTTTGTAAAAAATAAACAGTTTTCTACAAGAAGTAAAACCTGATTTACACAAAAAACTCCTCCGATACTTGTTTTCTGGCGCTTGCCTCTGACACCCTACTTGATATTGAAACAAACAAAAACGAAAATAGAATGTTAATAAGACATGATACGAGAGTTGTAATGACCCTCAAAATATAACCTCAAAATAGATGAACTGGTGGAAGCCAAGCAATTGCACTCATCCTAATAAAATTTACAAACGACATACAATAAATCAATGCTTGATATAACGTGTTCATATTCTGAATGCTTTAGTGCAGTGGGTCCCCCAAACTATGGGTCGCGACCCCGGATGGGGTTGCGTGAAGATTTTCCGGGGTCGCCTTTTTTGATCATGTTACATCCTAATACGTTGTTGACCCGCTGGTACGCGAATTGGATTTATTGCCAAGTCTGCGAGAAATTCCTCAGAAAAATCGCAGGGGTCCGTTAAAAAAATTTTCAAAAAGTTTGAGAACCACTGGTCTAGAGTATAATCGAAAACTCGATTGGCTGGTGAAGTATTAAATTAACCTAGATCAAATAAATTCACTTTTTTTTATCCTCGCATGGATGATGGCTCCTGTGATTGGCTCGCTCGCGTTACCAATTACATTTGCAATAATAAGATAAAGAATAGATATTTGAAAAGAACAACTACATTGAATGAGACAGATAGAAATGAAAAGAAAGCAAAACCAAAACATAATCATGAAAATTACATTTCTTCCGGATTCACGGCACGAGAGATTCTAAGTTAGAGCTCAAATCCGTTGTGCCTGGTATGTGAAAGAGTCGTGCAATAGTGCCATGATAAGTAGTGTCCAAGATTAACTGGCGTGGCTGACATATTTCGACATATGAACAAGCTAAACACGCGAATGCAAGGCTGAGATGAAAATCTTATTACAGGAACTGCGAATTGTATAAATTTTATTCAAACGTAGCTTACAGCTTTGGCAAAATGTATGAAAAATGGCAAGTTTGACAAGTATTCCTAGACCTGAAATTGCAAACAAAAATGTCAATAGAGTTCCTCATCGCTGTTTGATTAAGGTTCTAATTGTTGCAACAGTGCCATTCATTACCTGATTCTTCACACCAATCCTAGTTAGTTTGGCCTCACCTTCCCCATGCTAGCCAAGATTCAAGAAACTATACAAAAAACATTGAATTCAACTTCCGAGATTCATTGCTCGCTGTATTTCTGAAAACTTCAACACCTCCAACATCATATCAGAATTTGTACCACTAAGCCCAGGTATTGCGTATTATTCAATCTCTAAAAGAACCTAAAGACAAACTAACAATGAACAAGGAGTCTCAAACTTTTCAATCTCTCTCTCCCGAATTGCCAGAAAAGGGTAGATAATGAATTGCGATCCCAAAACAAAATATAATCATTGTCTGGAAGAACGGACTCTAAATCCTGAGAACAATCTTTGGTATATATGTCACTAAGCATGCGGAAAACCAGGATAGACGCTCCGGCATTGAAAACCTAGAATTACACGGGATGCAACCGCTAGCCAACGAGGACATCGACAAACTTGTACTCGAAATCTCTTATCTAACAAAAGTGAAAATTCAACCAAGTGACATTCCTTGTAGTCATTGTTTTACGACTAGCAAATATAAAAACAACCCGTTTGGGAATACGCATCAATAAGTATAAAAAATTACAAATCTGATAAAGTTTGAAGAATTGAAGAAGAAGATTGAATGTTCAACCATAAAAATTACAGTCATGTGCCAAATGCTGGCAAAATAATGGTGTATTACAAGGCCAGGTACAATCAGCCACTGATATCTAACGATATGTTAAAGAACCTCTCCATCGACTTAATTTGCGGTCGGGGTTATTCAAGATATACAAGCACACAATCTTATCCATTTTGGTTGCTTCGTTTGAGGAAAGGATTGAAGCACATATGATACACCGTATTAAAAGTTTATGGCTTTCAATAAAATTTTTCACTAAAAAAATCTCAAAATCAGTCTGCATGTTCCTTGATTATTAATTAAAACATTCAAAACCCTATGGGGGTATGGTGTACTTTTGTGGACCGACTGTGGCCCACTGGGCTGTAATATTGAAGGGTTATGATGAAAAATGTGTCTGTGATACAATAAAAGTGGAAAATCACTAATATATAGGACCCATTTATAAATGGTATGTATAGGGATTGACCAAGGGCGGCCAATGTCCAATGTTAAACAATTTCATGGATGCCATATTGGGAAAACGCGAAACAATGGAGTATTATGGAAAATTTTCGTCGTGTTGTTCGAATCGAATAAGTCAGCTGGTATAAGAGCTGGTAGAATAAAGTCGAAAGGTGGATTTTAAAGCTTTAAGCTATCTAAATATATAACTCAATTTATACCCAAAAAATTATTTAATGCGTTAAATTTGGTCAGATATACTTTATAGTTTTACGCCGATTTGACGCTGTATAATGCCGACGCAATAATCCTGCAATGTCATTTGTTTTTTTAGCACAGTTCGAACTGAGCAGTCGGGCATTATGAAGCTTGACAGACCAAAAATGTTAAATTGAAAAAAAAACGGCCATTGAAGGGAACTTGAGTCGGCCGGTAACTTCGTCGAATAAATACAACTTTCCATCTGTAACATCATAGGGAAGGCCATTGTCAAATAGTCAATTATGACGAATAGAATGGCCAACTTACTTCGGAAGCAACTCGGAACCGGTATACTTGTCTTCAAAGACAATTTAATGTTCTATAAATTTAATCTTGAAAACATGATAGAATATCATCATGTTCGGCTAAGATTCTCCTTCAAAACACGAGCTTCAAATCTTTCTACCTAAAATATTCGTGAAAATAATAGGTATGTTTCAATATTTATGTGCGAACTCCTCAAAAGGCGCCGTGTTAGATGGCCGAGAACAATAGGCACAAGATGACGTCCATTGACTGAGCGTTGCCTCGCTTGTGTATACGCTTTTCATAACTTTTTCGCAACTTTTGAATTTTTGTAGTGTATTGCTAGTGGACGACTTGCCACACACATTTTTAAAATCTGTCAATCATATAATTTCCAATTATAACTTACGGATTATAGGAATCCCCATGGAAGAAGATTGAATTAGGTTATTTAGGTCAGGGCTTCCCAAACTAGGAGCCGCGGCCCCGCAAAGGGCCGCGAAACGAATTTCAGGGGCCGCAAAGAAAGCACTAATTTTACACAAGTACTTCATATAAAAAATGAGACAGTGTCTTTAATTATTTTTTTCAAAAAAAAAAATTAAAAGTAGAGAATTACGAGATTTTGAATATACAAAATATGAAACTGTTTATAAATAACACGTTTTTTATTTAAAATACTTCTAAACATAGATTATTACCCATTTAACACGAGTAGGAAAAATTTCTTGTTATCGACTAGGTAAAAAAAAAAATTCCTATCATATGGAGAGGGCCCATATTAAAATATTTTTTAAAATTCAGACTAGGTCTTATTTTCAGGGAAATCCGGTAGAACCACCGCGCTTGCATAACAATGCCGGCTTTAATCGTTAAGCCATCGGTTTAATTTGAAAGCAGCCTTTTTTCGTGTAGGTGCGTCGTGAGTTTTTTCCCTGATAATTTGGCCCCACACGAACCGCTGCCTTGCGCTGAATTTGATCATTAAGAGTGAGTAACAACGCCGAAGAGGGATCATGCAGTCGGTGGCCAGACATTGTAATTCATTTTCATTTGGACCTGCATTAACAAACATTAGGCCACGGCTGGACTTGTTATGCCGCGAAAAGAATTCGTACCCATCACACCGAATAATCGAGTAACCTTAATCTGAGTAAATGTGTGTTTGTTTTTGTTATTGAATGAGCCTACCAAAAGCTCAGAATAAACTATGTAAATTAGAATCAAAAATGCATATATCGAACGGTTTAGCATTATTAACTTGAACAGGGGCCGCGAAAAATGTTAATATATTGAAAAGGGCCGCGAGCTCAAAAGTTTGGGAAGCCCTGAATTAGGTGATACATTGATATCCTTGCTAAAAAGGGATTTGAATTGAAACTCCTATTTTATGAAAAGTACTCAAATGTTTTAAAAAACTGATACTATTGTAAAGAAACTTTGTTTGATTATAAAATATTAAATTATCATAACCCTCCACTATGGTACAATGAAAAAATTTTTTATGGAAGAAAGTCATTTTTTATACAATCATGGTATAATAAAGGTCTTTTACTGTTTGAACATTTAATTGATGACAATGATTTGTTTTCCAATTTTAAATTGTGTGAAAAATATGGCATTAAAATATATCGTCAGTTGAACCAAAAACAGTTTATGCCACCAATAAAAGTAGAAGAAATGTGGATTATTGATTTAAATGTACATTACAATATTAATAGGAGTAAATGCTATACTATTGTTCATTTTTGCACCATTGAGACAGAACTCCGGTCCTTTCACATTAAACTATTCCACAGGGCAATTGCTCTAAATATTGTTTTATATGGTTTTAATTTAGTGCCTTCAAATTTATGTGATTTTTGCAATGTATCTGTTGAGAACATCAATCATCTTTTTTTTAATGTAATTATTCACCAATATTCTGGGAACAGTTGAACCAATGGATGTTCACAAAAAGTGGTAGTAATTTCTCCTTCACCAAATTGAAATGTTCATTAGGCTATTGTAGATTTTTCTTTTGACCAGATTTGTATTGTGACCTGCTTGTCGGGCGATTCTTTTATATGAATGTTAAATTGGTAAA